TTATTTCATTCCATTTTATAACAATAGACTCATTAAATAAATTACAGATAAATTGAACACAATAAATAATATTCTAACACTCTCCATGTGCTCTTATTTGGAAAGGGTACTCGGTGTTGTTTCCCCTTCATACATGATTTTTGGTAAACCAGTGACCATCCTTTTATTGTGCAAGGTGAAAAGACCCTTGTATCCAAGATGCCCATATCGATGATGCCACAATGTCGCCTTGTCTGAGACATCAGCCTGAAGGCATTTGTTTTCATCTGTTTTGCTACAACATTCAGCGAGTAAAACATACATTCAATTTGCACTCATAACTTATTATTATTGTTGTTGTTGTTTGTTGTTGTTGTTGTTATTATTATTATTATTATTATTATTATTATTACTAGTATTATTCTTACTAGTATTATTATTATTATTATTATTATTATTATTATTAAAGAAGTGGCCCTAACAGAGAACAGAAGTGGATTGGCCAGAGGCTGGAGACGGTGGTGTTATGGAGGGCGGCGGCAGATGACGCGGTGGTGCCAAATGAAAGAACAGCAGAGCGACGACGGTTCTTCCGGCGGTAGACTCACTTGGCTGCGGAGGCGGCGGACTCACCGTTGGCAGACTCTCCGATGACGGTGGTGGACTCACCGGAGGTGAACTTCCTAGACAGTAGCGCCACCATAGAAACGAAGGCAGAGTAGGCTTAGGGTTTTGGTTTTTATTTTTCTATTTTTTAATTATAAATAAATCTGGAACTTCATTAAGGGTATTTTAGTCATGTCATTGCACTTTTACTCCTATTAAACATTGAACTCCTATTGAAGCGCATATTCAATGTTTTACTCTTATTAAGGTGATTACCCCAAATGAAATTGATTGAGAGTATTTTGAATATCTATGAGGCTAGGACGCCCATGAGAAAACTTACCCACAAGAGCAAATTCATAGCACCTAGATAGTTTCTGGATGTCTTCCTCTGAAATTGGAATGAAAGGTTCATTGTGACTATTTGCTCGTACGGAATCATAGCATCTGCCTTTTGAGATATTCCAAAACGGAGAATGCTTTTAGCCACTGGAATAAAACTTCGCTTCCCATCAACTACTTCTGCATAGGTTTTGCTTCCATTCGAATATTTGTTTGGAAAAGATGAACTTGGTTACTTCTGGTTGCAGCAGATCGGATCTTTGGCATGCTTCTCGTCTTCATCACTTGGCTCTTCCTCCATCTATCAAACCCCATATTTTATGGTTCATGTAGTGCACTTTTCTATTTCACACAATACATAATTCTCAAATCTAACGCTAGATATTCATTCTCATTTCTCTACACTCATTGTCATGTGTTCTAAATTCTCTCTCTATATCAGAAATCAATATAATATACTAAGTACACAATACTTGATACGTTTAATTAAAATTGTTATTAAATCATGTTCATTCTCGTTTCTAACGCTACATGTTCATTCTCATTTCTCTCCACCCATTGTCATTTGATCTAAAATTTGATAAGTGCACAATACTTGATAAGTTTAATTAAAAAAGTTATTAAATCATTCTTATACTAAAATTTGATAGCTATTAAATGATATATAGAAAAAGCACTCATGATACAAAAATAAATATACAATTAGGTCTTTTGAATAAATATTTTTAAATAATGACTACTAATTGTTAAAAAATGTTTTGAACTATAACATAAAAATATGTTGGAGTAATTTATTTGAATAGTTATTATAGAAATAATAGTACAACAAAGGTTGTAAAACAATAAGTATATAATTGAAATAATTTTGGTAGTGAATTGCATGAGCCAACCCACCTAACCTTCGACCCTGGAGACTGACACACAAAACCTTTGAGTTCATTGAGTTGGAAAATGACAACTTTAACTCATCATGAAATGGGATGAAATGAGCTTGCCCATGAACTTCAACTCTTTTTGACATCTCTATTTGAATTCTCTTTTAAATTCCAATTGATGAATTGAATTCACATACAATTCACAATCCCTATAATTTTAAGAAACAATTTAAGCAATTATCTTACCGTACACTGCACAGGTACACAAACTAGTACTAATAAAACAGGAGAGAAGAAAATTCGCAACTTACAACATAGAAAATTCTCGAAATTCATGATTTGTGTTTGGCTTTAACCAAATCCAGTTATGCCTCTACAAAACAACAACTCAAGCGATTGAAAAACTATAGACTTAATTATTTATTTTATATAACAAAAGGATGACACACGTCCCTGAGCGATCCCAGCACCGACAGATGTAAATTGAACTTTAATCACAAATTGACAGATAGTGAGTGAGATTCTTACCCAGGAACTTGCAAAGGTCTGTGCATTTTGTAAGGATTCGAAGTCGAGACTTACCCCTTGTGACACTCCTTATCTACCAGTTAGGTGTGGGCGTGATCTAGTACGGTCCAATAAATTAGTAAAATCCGTAATGTACCCGTTCGAATGGTTTCGTACAAATCGATTCTAAGGTTGGAACCATTTGATACCATGTCGTTTCGAAACGTATGAAATGGTACAATACAATGCCAAACTAATGCTAAAAATTTTGGAAAAAGAAACTTACAATTAGTAAATTCATCATACTTGATAAAAAAAAGAAATAGCATAGTAATTGCTAGGAAATATTCAAGAGGCTTATATTTTTGTTTTCAAGTTTGCAAATACTCAAATAGTGCAACACACTTGATAAAAAAAATATAGCAAAATGATGATACATCAGATATAAATCATCTTAATAAAATTCTTGTGTAAGCATAAAAAGAATATCATCAAATTGTTGAATATTATAGAAATTTTATCAGCATTCTTCTTTGTTCGAGGTTTAGTATTGGTCTGAAGTCATTGTTGCATCCTGGAAGATAAGATTTGAATCATTTTGATTGAATTGCAACACTACATAATATAAACATGATACAACAAATAGTCATATACACTACATTACTGAAGTTAGTAGTCATTAATTATTTTTAGAATTTTAGCATTCTATAACTCTATACCAAAATAAAACATAACTTATCTTAAAGAAAGAATAACAAAATTTATATAAAACGCACATTTAGCTATTTTAATGATGAATGAGATCATACTTTGGCTACAAAATTATTGGTAAAGATATTTATTGGGATGAAGAAAAAAGAAACTCGCATGTATTGATTTTGAATGGTTTGTCTGGTACTTTTCCGTTCTCAAAATCTAAAACCGGTCTTATACCTGTCTCAAACAGTACAGTTTTGGTTCAGGATACAATTCGATAATACCGTTTAAATACTCGATATTCAGTTCGCTACCATTATGGGCCAATTCGATACCAGTTCAGATCGGTTTTTATATGAAAAGAGGGCTAGGGTTAAAATTGTTAGTGTTTGAAATACGAAGTGATTTTTTTTGTATAAAAACTAAGTGACTTGAAAAAAGTAAAAATTGGAATAAATTGGTGAATAATTATTACTTCTGGTGGTCATAGAAAAAGTAAAAAAAAAACAATTTTAATCGATATCCCTACTTGCATATTTCAGCTTTAAACTGTTTAAATTTAAGCAAATTAAACGCACATGTTGAAATATTACTTTGAACTAAAAAAAACTGAAAAATAGTTAAACAAAACTTTTGCAAACCTTCCTTTACCCTTTAGGGGGAGGCTGTGATGCAGCAGTTTAAGCAACCACCACCACTGTGGCACTATCCTAGGAAGCACGGAAACACAAATCAGGGGAGGTTTCCGCCCCTAAAACTAGGGATGGACTAAACCGGCCCGGCCCGGCCCGGCCCGCTACTGTGCGGGCCCGGACCGGACCGGGACCGGTTGATCGGTTCCGGGCTTCTAGCCCGTTTGGGCGGGTCGGGCGGGTCGGGCGGGCCGGGCTCGGGTCCAGTTTTGGGCGAACCGGCCCGAGCGGTTCGGGCCGGGCCCGGGTCAATTTTTTTTTGTTTTTTCAATTTTTTTCGTTTCCTAGGGTAGGGCTGAGTGTTTTGGAAAGGTTTGGGGGGTCGGGGGATAACAAGAAAACAATATCATTAGGCCCGGACCCGGTATCAACCCGGGCCGGTTCCGGGCCCAAGGATTTGCAAAAAAAGCCCGCCCGGGCCCGGCCCGGAACCGGAACCGGACCGGCCCGGGTCTATCACTACCTAAAACGTTTCTGAAACGTGAAACGCCGGGAAACAGCCAGAAACAGCTCGAAAACAACGGGAAACCTTTTTGCAATGGGCCGACGAATTCTTGTAATTATTTTTAAAAAAAATCTGGGTCAGTCAAATGGGTCAATCAACCGGATTTCCAATTAGCAGACTGTAGAGGGCAGTTCACAGGGCAGTTCACAGGCCTCCCAAATCACGAACCGGCCCGGCTGGTTTGAGCCCGGTTCGGTTCATTTTTTTGTTTTTCACATTTTTTAAAAGGTAAATGGGTTGGGTTGGGTTGGGTGTTTTGGAGGGGTTTGGGGTGTGGGGGGTGGGGTGGGGGTAGGAAGTATTTAGAAATAAAAAAAATAGGTTACCCGGCCCAGTAACCGCTAGGTGATCCAGCCCGGCCCAGAACTGGAGCTACCCGGGCCGGTTTCCGGGCCTCACTTCTCCAAATAAAAGCCCGGTTGGAACCGGACCGACTGGCTGAACAGGAATATGACTCTATTAGTAAAATTTTAATTTTCATTTCGACGTTTCGTCGCGGTACCCGTTTCTTGATATTTTGACATTAGAGTTTCCTGTCCCCGTTTCCCTACGGGCGCTACTTAGGTGCTGTCTGCATAACAATAATTTCTCCTTATATTTGCTATCATTAGTCAAGCTGGCAACCGTTACCAGCTGTAGATGTAATTGCCACTTTAAGAACCCATTATGGCGCTCTCTAATTAGTTGCTATTGGATCTACTTATGTTCTACACTTTGGTGGCAATGCTTTAACAATTCTCAATTGGCAATGCTTTACAAATGAACTAAAATGAAACAGAAAATATTTTATATGGAGTGTGATGATATTAAGAAAGAAAGCAATGAAAAGGAACAATCAAAAACCAAAGACTTCAAACATGAAGACAAATGGATACAATGCCCTATTTCCAGCCTTTCATAGAAATGTAAAAACCAAGCAAGACCAGAAATGGTTCAGCAGGAGTAAGAGCAGATTTATCAATAATTCAAATTTATTGGCCGTGATGGCTTATCAGTAGGAGCAGCTAAAGAGCAATCAAAATAAATGCATCTGAATAAGATTTGTTGAACATAATAATCATATAGATTAGATAAGGGAAAGGAGAAGGAAGATGATTCAGGTATACAAGGACCAATCAGTCCAAGCTCCTGAAACATGTCCATTCTCACAAACATAGGCTCGCACAACCTGCTCACCGTCTTCATGGAACCCAAAATACCTTCTTAAGCAGAACGCAGAATGCAAGTCCCACGTCTGTTTGGCGTTGCAGAATGCGCAACTCAGATCCGTCTGTTTCTTGTCCCCGTCATTAATTGTCCTCCAAACCCTAGACTGCTTGAAATTCTTGAATATTCCTCGAAATAGCATGTAGTTCCTCTTCTCCTCGATGTGAAGGCAACCTGGCCAATCGGATATGTACAGGCGATCCTCTCTGAATCTACTCGCAAGGAGTTTAATCCCGTGCTCACGACTCAAATTCCAGGCTCCGGATGCCATATGAGAACAACTAGATCTGACTGTTCTTCTTCTCTTAGATCTGAGGATTTCGATTGAATTTTCCGTCGTTGGAGACGGAGGCCTTTTGGTAGAATCGTCGCGCACTTGGTTTGATGATGATTCGGAAGCATCGCAGAGAGTATCAAACATGAGATCGTCAAACAAAGACCAGCTACAATCAGGTTGTTCAGAACCGACGCCGTCGCTCTTGACGATAGAGAGAGTCTTCTCAGAGGCGGCGGCTAGGAAATCCTCATCCGGGCCGAGCTCGCGTTGGAGGCCGAAATCGGAATTCTCTATGAGCACTCCGGCGTGGAGGAGGCCAGGACAACAGAAAGCTAGCTTGTAGAGAGAAAGCCAACCGCCAGGAGGAGCCACGGAGGAGGCGGAGACGAGATCGGAAACGACGGAGGAAATCGTCTGTGAGCACTTGGATTTGCAGCATAGGTTACGGATGAGAGAAGAGAATTTGGTTGAGACACAGGAGAGTCGTGCCCAGTTGCGTGGGTCTCCATCGAGCCTGTAGAAAATGTTGAGAACGATGTCGTCGGAGAGCTCAGAGAAGGCATTCTCATTTTCAGCCATGGCGGCCTCTCCTACTAATCTCGCCTATCTTCACCCAAAATTCGCAGTGGCAGAAGATTATTGGAGCTTGGGCGGCATTTTAGCGGTCAACGGGTCAACGGGTATGGCCAGATCAATCCGTTGTTGCACTTACATACTTATATAAATAGAAATTACTTCAAATAGAACTTGTTATGTTTTTATTCCAAAATAGGACCATATGACTCCTATTGGAAACATACATATTTTTGCATTCCATTCTTACCCTTCCATTATATATGAATTAAAAATAGTCAAAAACCATAATTAAATGTTTAATTTATAATAAATTCGAAAAAATTCAAAAATTCGTAGAAATATAATTAAAAAATTTATAAAATTTTTATAAAATAAAAAATTCAAAAACATTTTTTTAAATAATTTTATTTTTAAAAAAATTAATAAAAAATAGTAAAACTCCGTAAAAAAAATTAAAAAAATATGGATGCCTTTCCCACCGCCTGTACTACCTCCCAGCACCACCACCTCCGGTCGATGAAAAAAATGCCATTTTCCCAGAAAAATGTCATTTTTTTCAGAAAATGCCAAAAAGTGGCATATTTCTCTTTTCGAATGCCAACATTTTCATTTTTTTCTGCCATAAATATGGCATTCGTAATGAACTTGGCATTTTTCCCCCTGATGACTGGAGGTGAGGCGGCAGAGGCGGCGGCGATTTTTTTTTGAGTTTTTATTTTTTTTTAAAATTTTTTTTTTTATTTTTTTTTAATTTTTTTAATTTTTTGAAAAAAATTAATTAAATTTTTAATATCGAAATGTTTTTCTTATTTTTTTAGTATTTTTTACGAATTTTCATCATTTTTTATTATTTTATTAGGAATTAAAACATTTTAATAGCTATAAGGGTATAATTGTCCAAGGTATACATAATTAGTCATATGCAAACATAGTTTATTTTTTGGTCCTATTTGTGAAAAGTGAATGACTTTTAGTCCTAGTTTGATAATTAACTCTTATATAAATCCCAGTCGTAGGCCGATTGAAACGAAAATCCCTGACAACAACCAAAATATGGTCAGCTTATGCAGAAGCCGGGCGGCGTTCGTCCTTCTGCAATACGGGCAGCTCCTTTTGAGTGACGATTTCCGGCGATTTCGATTCCTAACGATCTATCGACTCTTCTAAGTTAATTACCACAATTTTATAACAATATTCTACACTTTTAAACGTGTAGAACCTCATGTTTATTCCACCATATGATTTCTTAAAAAACATAACAAAAACAATATTACCTCCGTCCCATAAACTTTTCCAAAGTTGACCGGCACGGAGAATAAGAAAGTAAAAACTGTGTGGTTGAGGTTTGTGCAGAGGAGAGAGAAATAACAGAAACCACAAAATAATTGATTAAAAGTGAAAGTGGTAAAGTTTTTTGGGACATCCCAAAAAGGAAAGATAGCAAAGTTTTTAGGGACGGAGGGAGTACTAGTTAAAGAAAATAGGTAGAGTTCTTACCTTGAGCTCAAACTATTTCTTGTTGGATTTCTTCCTTCTTGCTACCTCCAAGCTAGAACTTTGCTAGAGTTATCCCAAGACCCCTCTCTCTTTCTCTCTTGTGCGAATGGTGTAGAATGACTAAGGAGGTGTTCTTTCTCAATCAAAGGCCAAGATACTATCAATGATAGGACATATGGGTGTGGCTTTGTCTTGATCCATCCCTTCTCCCCAATAGTTCGCCCCTAGTTTATTTTCTTGTCTCCTCCCCATTATTTGGGAGTTATTTGATTGGTAGAGTATCCCAAGTGGATGTAGGAAGTCCCTTCTAATAATTATTGCTATTTTTATTAGGTTAAGTTAAAATAGCACTTGAATTGCCCAATCATTTTTCTTAACTTTGGTTTGCATTTCATTGAGCTTCTATAATTATTATGATGACTCAACTAAATATTTGGTAGCTCATTCTCAATATTATGGGCCCAATAATAATTTTATTAATCATTCATTATATAATTATATCATTTTTTACACAATTTTATTCGCTAGGAAATCCAAACATGTATTGAATTTTAAATTCAAGTACATCCGGGTGTGGTGTCACAGTTTCTCTCCCCACTCCAGCAAGTTGCCCATAACGGAACATCTCAATGCAGTTGGCGGGAAACCTAATAATTGGCAGGAAGCGCATTAAATGTATCAGATATGGAGAATTTTATGGTTGAGGTTTCATCCACTCAGGGTCGGCCACATCACCGCCTCCAACTACGCATTCATATTATAAATAAGAGCATTTATTTCATTGTAAATGATTAACAATTTTGTACTCAGAAGCAATATACTACTCTCTAGCTCTCCCAAAAGCTTTTAGCTTCACCAAGAGAATAAGAATTCCCGTTCGACATTCGTGTGTAACTGCTTTACTTGCTGGAATAGAATCGCACTTCTTTGATGTTTCCTCTTTCACTTTACTTACCTTAACATCCATCTATATACTCACTTATCTATCAATATTCCTATGAAGCCCAAAGGACTGTGTTCGACTTTGGGATCTGGAGGAATAAAGCTCAACACTGATGTTGTCTGTGGGAACAAACAAATGATATGATGCGTGTGTATGTCGATCTCACGACATTATTTGAACTAACCATGATTTTTTGTTTGAAAGAATATAAGAATATTTTAGTCTTATTCTTATATTTTTCTGAAGTTTTTTTATCATTATTTACGTGTTTTTTCTTATATATATAACCTTTCAAAAATAAAAAATTGAGACCACCATTAAAAATCAAAAGTTTGGACGGTTGGCTATTTTACACGCATCTTAGGATGTTTTTACTTGGGTTGTTTTCAGTCGCATACTGGATCAAATCAGACTAGACTTGGACAGTTATAAAATACATAGAGACCAGACATTTACTAGACCATACCAGATCATATAAGTTCAGACCAGATCAGACCAGAAAATTTCAGTTCAAGTAAAAACATCCTTATTATCCAACTCCAAATCGCAACTAGTAAACTGCAGGACGACAATCCTCCTAGATCATGTTTTCCAACCCCACAATCGCCTACTCCTAGTTGTTGATTCCTCATCCGCCATTTGCTCATTCCCACACGTTGCTGTAGCCTCCTGTCGGCCATTGTTGCTGCTTGTTGCACAAATTACTTATTACTCCCTCCTCATTTACATGTCTTACTTTCCTTTTTAGGTTGTCACAAAATAAGTGTTTCATTTCCTTTTTTGGAAAGAAATATGTGATCTACATCATTTCACTTTATTATACTCAAATCTCAACCACAACTTTTACTTTTTCAACCATTTCATTGATTATTATGCCATGTCAAAGTAGGACACATAAAATGGGACGGAGATAGTACTTATTAGCTATTACGAGCTCGTTTGATAGCACTGAAATCGGTTTAATATGCTTATTCTGCTGAAAATTATGAAGTTCTGGCCGAAGTGACTGTATTGCCTGATTCTGTTGATTTATGAAATAATTATATTTAAAATACATTTTATTAATAAAAAAGAAAAAAACTATATACAAAATAGCTAAAATAGTCATTTAAAGTAACTTCAGCCGATACAGCTAGAAAAATAACTCTAATCTTACTTTTTCTTATTATTACACAATTCAATGCGCGAAATAAAAAATTACGTATTTAATTAAAAGTTAGTTGATAAGTCAAATAAAGCGAAAATGAGAATTACCAAACCAGTTCTACATTTGCTTTTGAATGACACTTTAACTAATGAGTAGTACGTATTCTGTATTTGTCTATTTGTCATACTGGTATGATATTTTGAAAATTTATTTTCCTTAATTTGTCACAATTATTGTTCTCACGTGAATTGCTCTTTTTTCTTTACGTCTTTTCCCTGTATTTATATAATTGATCATAGGAAAAATTGATCGTAATAATTCCAACTATTGGCGATCCGCTTATTATAATCTCAACTATTGATTATCTCAGAATAATCCCAACTTTAGTGACCTTCCGCCAATAATGGTCCATGACCAGATATGACTTGCTATAAAAAGTGAATTTTAAATAGAAATAAAGCGTAAAAATTAAAAGTTGAATTATTTACATGGATTACTTGTTATATCTCTTCTCATTCACTTTAGAAACTATAGGAATTTATTTATAGCCGGTCATGTCGGACCATTATTGGCGGAAGATCACTAAAGTTGGGATTATTTTGAGATAATCGATAGTTGAGATTATTATAAGCGAACCGCCAATAGTTGGGATTATTACAATCAATTTTTCCTTGATCATATGATCGAACACAAATTGAGAGAATTTGCAACTACTTTAAATTTTCGAGGACATGCAAAAAATGAATTTTATGTGTTTTAACTTTTAAATTACTTAATATGTTACTAGCTATTACTCCCTGTTGGCAGAGGCGGACCCACTAAGGGTCCCATGGGGTCCCGGGACCCCGTGCACCTAAAAAAATACTTATATTATATATATATATATATACTACCTCCGTCCCGCTATGATTGTCCCATTTTACTTTATCGGTCCGTCCCACTAAGATTGTCCCATACCAAATTTGACAAAGTTGTGTCACTCTAAATCATTCTTACTTTATTCTTAATTTATAAATTCAATATCAACCACATAAACCATTTTTTATTGATTTGCGTGCCGCTCTCTTTTGTCTCATTGTTAGCGGGACGGAGAGAGTATATTATATAAAATTAATTATTCAATGTATATTTACCCAAAAATGACCTTAAAACCAAAAGAACGGAGCAGTGCAGCGGTGACGGGTGCTTATTCCAAATACGAGGTTGCTGGTTCGAAACCCAGCTTCTTTCTTTTATTCCTTTTTTCAGTGCTGACCTTAAACAATGTATACGAATTTCCAACAAAAACTGCAACTTGATTCATTTAGCTCATTGGTTGAGTATGTCCTTAGGGGTGGGCACAAGACCCGGTCCTGTTGGCCCGTCCCGGAATGTTCCGGTCCCGTTCCGATTTTGTCCCGTTCTAATCGGGACATACTATTTTTGTCCCTTACCGGTCCCGTCCCGTTTTAAATAGAACGGGACCGGGACACATGAAATATGTCCCGTCCCGTCCCGTTGTCCCGTTTCCAAATAATAGCACATTAGTAATTTACTATTAGTGGTGCAATTTGCGCAGCCCACTACTAACTGGCAGCCCAATAAAATGCTTCCAAGAAATTAATCCTTGGGCTTGAGGGCTTCGTACAATTTTTATACAAAGAGCAAATGTTAAAAACTTCAAACCTATACACCTCATTACCGCTAAGGGCCTGTTTGGATTGGGTGTTAAGGGGTGTTAGTAATGGAAGTGTTAAGGAGTGTTTAGTCTAACACTTGTTTGGGAGAAAATTTTAATTTTTTAAGGGTGTTAGTAAGTGTTTGAGAGTGTTACTCATAACCTTCCTAACACCTATATTTACCATTTTTCAAACACTCCAATTTGGGGTGTAATGAAGTGTTGGACAACTTTTGCCCTTATTTCAAAAATATAATTCAAAGTTACACAAGTTCTCTGTCCATTCTTCTTCCGCAGCAGAGAGAGTCCGTTCATCTACACTTCTACGTCGGGGCTCTGGTTCTACTTTTCTTAAGCTCTAAACGGCTCTGGTTCTCTCATGTTGGCGCAGGGATTGTTGGATATCAAGGAATCACTCACACCACTTTTATCCACGATTATCTGAACAAGGTAAACATCTATGTGTGGATTGTTGCGCACAAATACATATTTGGTTTTGTCTACGAATAATATTAATAATAATAATAATAAATAAGGGTGAGAATTGTGTGCATAGTCAATGGTGAATACTGAATATAAGGGCTGGAATCTGGTGGTAAAATTTCAGAATTTCTTATTCTGTTTTTGTTGCCTTTAATTTTTTTTTTTACTGTTTAAGGAAGATTACTTATTCATTCATTTGGGAGATATATTCGTGAAGAATATTTTCTAGGCTGTATGTATTTTTAAACAATAAAATGTTGTGATGTATTATGAAATTAGTAAAGGATGGAAAACATTCTTATTTTTTTAAAGCACTACCATAGTACCATCTGAACTATGGGGAAAGAATATAATGGTAAGTTGGGTTGTTGAACATAATACGTAGTATTATGTTTTAGTATTACAGAAACCTAATTATGTTTTGCACTTATACTATTACAGGGAGCCTATGGGTAAAACCAAATCCAAAGCCTCTAGCCAAGTTGGTTCAAATTCTAGGAGCTCACAAATGCCATCAGAAACACAATCTAAAGCTACTCGCACAACTCAAGTTTCTCGATTACAAGAAGCTCCTATTCCACCACCTGCAGCTGCTACAAGACCAGCCATCAGTACATGTGAGGTGGCATCTAACATGCCGGTTGGTCCTAACATTCTATATGAACCTCCTCCCGGTGTGAAGGTTAGAGTTTATAGATCAAAAGTTTGGGAGCATTTTATCAGTTATTGGGTTCGAACTATTAAAAAGGTAAAAAATAAGGATACTAACACTTATGATGACATACTAGAGTATAAAGAAAGGGCTAAGTGTAAGTATTGTCCAAAGAATAGTGGAGACTTTGCAACTGATAGTGGGCCCAGTGGGACTGGGGGTTTAGTAAAACATATTTCCAACAGCTGCAAATGGTACCCTGTTAATGGCAACAGGTCCAACAAAGTGTTAGTTTCAGAAAAGGGTGATTTTAACAAGCTTGTTGTTAGGGAATTTAATCAAAAAGATACTATGGGTGCTTGTGTCGAAATGGTTGTGATTGATGAGTTAACATTTTCATTTGTGGAAAAGAAGGGTTTTAGAAAATTTTGTATGATTGGTATGCCCTTGTTTAAAGTCCCATCTAGGAGAACTCTGGTTAGGGCTTTTCTTGAGATGTATGATGCAAAAAAAAGAAACTGACTCAAGAGTTAGGTTCTCATAGAGTTTGTCTCACTACGATACATGGACCAGTATACAAAACTATAATTATATGGTCATAACAGCCCATTTTATAGATTCTAATTGGAGCATGCATAAAAGGGTGTTAAACTTTTGTGTGATCCCAAATCACCAAGGTTCAACAATAACTCAAATTTTAGAAGATTGTTTGAATGAGTGGGGATTTTAGATGTTCTCACACGATGGAATGCTTCTTATATGATGTTAGATTCTGCCTTGAAGTTAAAGAGAGCATTTAAAAGGATGGAACAAGATCCTAACAGCCCGTACATAGCGTACTTTAAAGAATCAGAGGAACATTTCGATGATGAGGGAAATGTGGTAATGCAAAAAAATAGTAAAAGAGTGGGGCCACCAAAGGAAGAAGATTGGGTATCGTGTGATACCTTTGTAGGATTTTAAGGGTTTTTTATGATATAACCCTTAGAGTTAGTGCTTCCCTCCATCCTACAATTCATACTACATTTCATGGCATCGTTCAAATGGAATAAACGATGAATATTAAGCTATGTGGATTAACTAATGACAATGACCAGAAAATGAGTGAGGTTCTTTCACTCATGAGAACCAAATACATCAAGTATTTCAGTAAGCTCAATGAATTGAACCCTCTGATCATTATTGGTCTTGTTTTAGATCCAAGGTTTAAGTTAAACCATGTGAAGGACATTCTGGAAGAGGATTTAAAATGGGTTGCACGTGAGGTTGAACAAAAAGTAAACCAAATCAAACAACTTTTGTTTCTTTTGTATGAGGAGTATGAAGAGAAGTCTGTGAAGAAGAGGAAAGCTAATGAGACTAGCAACACTAACTTCCAATTGAAAACACAGAGATTGAAAGAAGGAAGTTCAAGCTCTAGTGGAAAAAGTGGTTCATCCCATGTTGCTAACAAATATGTGACGAGGTGGAGTAAGCGGGTAACTGAAATTGAAGAAGAGGTGGTCGAGCATGAGGTTGATCGATATTTAAAAGATAAGGTGATGGCCATCACCGAAACAAGTGTTGAAGAGGAGGGAGGAAGTGAACTTTTAGAAGAAGAGCTAGCAGAAAATTATAGGTCATTTGACCTATTAAGATGGTGGAAAATGAATGGTAATAAATATCCTGTGTTAGCTCTAATTGCTAAGGACTTGTTTGTTGTCCAGGTTTCAACTGTGGCATCGGAGAGTGCATTTAGCACAGGTGGGAGGGTGATAGATGCCTTTAGAAGCTCATTAACTCCCAAATCAGTTGAAGCATTGATATGCATGCAAAATTGGCTTAGGGGTGACAATATCATCACCAACTTTGAAGATGAGCCATGTGTTGAAGAGCTAGAATTTTATGAGAACATTGAAGAAGGTATAATTTTAATTAATAATTATTTATTTGTGTTTGTTGCATTTTTCTCTTTCTTTATTCACCATTTAATATTATCTTTTAATTATTAACTTGTAAATATTTTGTAGAGTTGAGGAACATGAGCTCAAGTAAAACTTCTAGATTTGATCCAACCAACAAAGCAAAAGGGCCAATTATAGTGACCCTTGAAGGTGAAGATAATACCATTCTTGAACTTGGCGTTGATGTTGGGGGAGATCAAGAGATCTTTCTGATGATGAAGAATATGATGACCTTTGATTTCAGAACAATATTTTTTGTTTACTATCTCCAAACTTCCTGATTATGCAATATGCCTACGACAATGCTTTATTTTTACTAGTTTAGGGATTGACTTCTTAGCACCCCCTTACTATTCCGCAAAGTGCATAATATCTTTAAGACATTATTTATGTGATGCAGTTTTTGGTGATTCAGTTTTTGGAGATGCAGTTTTTCTTCTAGTGCTGTAGTTTTTGTTGATGCGGTTTTTTCTTCTAGTGCTGCAGTTTTTGTTGATGCAGTTTTTTCTTGTAGTGCTGCCATTTGGGGCAGATTTTATTTCTTGTGCTGCCATATTATTCTGCTGCCATTTGCCCTGCAGATTTGGTCCTGCACTTTTTCATGGCTTCCTGCTGCAGTTTTTGGTGATACAGTTTTTTTCTTGGGGTGCCATTTATCCTGCAGTTTTTTTGTTGTGCTGCCAATTCTGCCATATTATGCTGCCAATCTGTCATTTCCTACAGTTTTTTGCTGCAGTTTTTTTCCAATTTTCTTTTACAATGGTTTGCTGTTTTTTATTGTACTGCATTTTCTGCTTCTGTTTTTTTATTATACTGCATTTTTTACTGCTGTTTTTTTTCAGGACGTCCCGAACCGTTCTGGTTTGTTCCGGTACCGGTTTAAAAGGGGCAAAATTAGGACAATGTCTTATCCCGTCCCGTCCCGACCCGTTAATCTAAAACAGGACAGGTTCTGGGATCATCCAAGACTCGTTCCGTCCCGGACCGTGCCCACCCCTATATGTCCTTTGTCCAAATGATGAGTAGAGCTCAAATCCTAGCTCCATCTTTCTTAATTTTTACTACTTTTCTCCAATTTACTCCTTATTTTCTTTTAAAGAAATTTCACTTTTGTTATCCTCTAACTTGAACTTTTATTTTCTTCATTTCTTCACGCTAAATGTATCCAAATAACATCAAATGTACCAGAAAATACAAAATACACGCATAGGACTGCACTAATACTAATTAACGACAAATAATAAAAATATGTACAAAAGTACAACTTTAATAACTAAAATTATCAACAAACTAGGCCTAAAAAGTGTGTAAAATATAATCACATCTGTAAGGAATAATTGTAATAAGATTTTGATGATGCTATATTAATTAGGATTTTAGAATACCCCTCTTTAGATTTATTGCATTAGAAATTTTCCTTGTAAAGTTTCTTAGAATAGTCGACTGACAGAAGATCTCCTGACAGAAGACCTTCTGATAGGCTTAGTCCTGACAGAAGACCTTTGGCTCTCTGTTGATTCTTACTTAGATAGAAGTTCTCTGATTCTCTGTTGGACATCGCTACAACAGGAGACATCTAGACTCTCTGTTAGTTCGCATCTGACAGAAGACCTAAAGGACCCTCTGATAGCTTATTCCAACAGAAGTGCTCAAGACCTTCTATGAGAGACTTTCTGCTGAAGACGCCAGAAGGCCCGACACTTGGAGAATTTTCTTGAAACTACTTCAACCGGTGAAACCATCAAAAGTTTCCTTCAACGACTAGAAGACTACAATGGAAAAGCTACAGTACGCACATTAAATGCACATTTAATGCACCTGCACCCTGAAAATAAAAGCTGATGATTGGCCGAAGTTCCATGATATTTCAGGATTACTTTATCCCAAAATAGCAACTCGCCAACTTTCCTGGGTCCTACTGGTCAAGTCAACTGTTCGCGCATTTAATGCATTGTCCTCCTCCTCCAACGGGAAGACAACCCAAGTATAAAAGATACTCTACGAAGAACAACCGGATAACTTTGCTACATCCTTTGCTCAACACTTGCTCTAACAAAACCTTCAAGGATTCAAAATCAAAAAGCCTCCTTGAGATTAAAACTTCTTCATCTTCTACAAGAGAAGGCAAACGCTGGAAAGATTTTTTTACTCACATCTCCTTATTTCCAACTCAAGCCTCCTTTGTTCTTCAACACTTCAAGCACTTCATCAAAACATGTTCTGTGACGAAGAAAGTGGGAGGAACCCCAGTTTCATCAAGAAACTCTTCTCTTTAAGAGAAGGACGTCCATGTAACTGGAGCAGTGAAGTGGTGATACTTTCAGGAAGCTCAGCGAAAGGACCAGTCTTAAAGGAAGCCATGAAGTGCATCCCAGGAGACATCTAGACTTGAAGAAGACGTGGAGAGCTTCTTAAGTGCTAGGACTAAGGCGTTGTAAACAGACGTTTTTGCAAGCTTAGTGGAACAGTGGATTAGAGGAACGAGGTTTTCCTTGAACCACTATAAAAATCCCTGGTGTCATTTACTTACTGCTTTTATTTCCTGCACGTAGTTAGAACTGATTAACTCCATAGACTTGGTCTCTGTGTTCAGCAGAACGTGTCTTGTGAGTTAACAGAAGGTCTACTGCCTTTGCTTCTCTGAGGCTGATCTGACAGAACCCCTACCAGAACCCCATCCGCTGCCAGTCTGTTCTGTCAACAGAACAGGCTATTCTGTTAAATCTGGTACTTAGCTTAAAAAAAGTTAAAAACCAGTACAGTCTATTCACCCCCCTCTAGACTATACCCAGTATAACCGAGACCAACAAGCGATATCAGAGTCTCCTTGCTGAACAAAGATCCACTTGTTTTCTTTTTGCCTCTATCTTTAATCTCATATTATGGATCACTCTCTTCCCAAGAATCTCATGTTTTCAGATCTTAAGTTTGATGATTGGAGGATCCGGATGAAGGCACATCTTTGTGCTCTTCATGATGAGATGTGAGAAGTACTTGACATTGGGCCATTCACAAGCTTTCAGAAGGTCAACCCTGAGCATGCTATAGATAACACCAGACCTCAGATGATCAATAAAGCCAAATCTGAGTGGACTACTGAAGAAAGAAGAAAGTATAACCTTGACAACATTGCAAAGGACATCCTCTACAACCAAGGAGATCAACCTCAAAGTGTTGAGAGGTCTTCTTTCAGCATGGAAGATGAAGGTGGTTGCTGTTCAAGCCAGCAAGGATGTGAAGACATACCCCACAGATAAGCTTATCTCATATCTCAAAGCTCATGAGTTCGAGATGATTGAAGAGAAGGAAGATGTACCAGAGGAGAGGACAACCACAGCTCTCATAACCAGTACATCTAAGGTAAATGATTTTGACCCTTCAATTCTTTTATCTGATGAATATATCGCTGCCTTTGCCAGGAGATTCAAGAAGTTTATGAAGAATACCAAAGATGGAAGAAGTCCATCTACCAATAGAAAACCGTTTCAGAAGACCAAGTCTGCAGATACCAGTGGAGAGCTTCTCCGTTAAAACTGCGGACAACCTGGACATTTTAAGGTAGATTGTCCACATCCAAGAGTGTCCAAAAGAAAAGGACAGGATGGAGAGAGAAAGAAATATGAATAGAATACTAGAAGGAGAAAAGCACTCGTCACAGAACAACTTGAGAAAGATCTTCTTTTTGAGACAGAATCCAGTTCTGACTTTGATTCTGATAAGGTTTTCTGTTGCCTGGATGCTGAGACAGAAGACCTATGCCTCGTGGCCCATTCTGATGATGAGGTAACCTCTACTTCTACATCTAGTTTTTCTTTGGTAGACTTAGCTTTTGATTCTGATTCAATGTCAGAATTTTGGGAAGAGTTTAAGGCCATCCAAGCCACTTATTCCTCTGTCAAAGAAGAAAACAGTAGGCTGAAGGTTGAGATTCTTGACTTAAGAAAGGAGGTTGAGACCAAAATCAATCTTCTAATTAAGGAGAGAGATCAGCTGGGAGTTGAAAATGTTTCTCTTCTCAAGAGAATAAGAGAAATTGAGCCTCTTGAGATTAAGTACAAAGCTTACCAGAAGGCCCAATCTTCCATGAAAAAGATTGTACTTGATCAACAGATTTGCTTTGGTTTTGGTCTTGGGTATGGCTCAACAGAATCAGGCGAGCCTTCTGTAATGCCTAGCACCAGTGTTGCTAAGGCAGATAAGGTCATAGTGCCACTGAATTCTAGCCCCATCTGCCAAGCTGGTGTATCTGGCACCAAAGTTATTCATGAGGAAGTCAGACCAGAAAAAGGAAAGATAAAGGTTCAACAGAAACCCCTTTTGAAAATCAATGAACCTGGCAGAAAACCTAACAACAGAAAGGGTTTTCAGAATAATAAAAATCAAAGACAAGCTGTCAACAGACAACCTCATGATAACCGTGCTAGAAATGATCACCAGAAGGGCATGTATCAAGAGAAAGTTAACTTTAGGCAGAAGAGGTTGGTTGGTCAACTTCAGAAGCCCAAAGCTAACCGCCCCTCTGCTCTTGATAGTATATGGGACTTCTTTCTAACCAAGAAAGCTATGCAAAAGTATGTAAACAGGAAGCATGACCCTCACAAGCATCTGCCCAAAGTGAATCACAGTTCAGATTACTATAACTACCAGGTGGACAATGGGTACCACCCACCAAGGTTTCACTTGATGAGACCGAAATGGTACCAACTACCCAGACTCCATGACCCCCCAGGACCCAACATTACTTGGCCACCTAAATCCTTCTTTTGATCTTGTAGGAACTGTGTGCTGAAGCTATCTCTGAGCAGGAATGGTTTATTGATAGTGGATGCTCCAGGCACATGACAGGTGATAGAAGTTGCCTAACAGAGTTCCAGAAATGCAAAGGACCTAGAGTTACCTTTGGAGGTAATGATAAAGAAGGTCAAACAAAAGAAAGAGGGAAGCTGATCAAGAACCAGATAATTATTGATGATGTCTCTTGTGTCAAAGGCCTGAAGTTCAACTTGCTGAGTGCTAGCCAATTCTGTGACAAAGGCTACACTGTTGAATTCACCAAAGACCTCTGTTATGTAAAAGGTGAGACAACAAAGGAAGTGGTTCTTACAGCAACAAGAAAGAAGAATATCTATGTAGTTGATTGGAAAACTGCAAAAGATGGAGTGTGCCTGATAGCCAAAGGAGATTCAAAACTAAGCTGGGACTAGCACAAGAAGCTTAGTCATCTGAACTTCAAAACAATCAACAAACTGGCAAGAGAACACATTGTAGAATGACTGCCAGACATAGTTTACAAGAAATAGACCCTCTGCAGTGCTTGCGAGAAGGGAAAACAACAGAAGAACTCTTTCAAACCCATTACTGGAAATCTCTCTACAAGTCCTTTAAATCTGATCCACATGGATTTATTTGGACCAGTTGAGACTCCAAGT